CTCTGCATCGCTCTCGCTGTTGCTGCCCTCGGTGTTAGCGCTGGTGATGCTGGCTCCGCTCGCGTGACGGAGTTTCTTCTTCTCATCTCTGGCCTGGTTTTGGTGTTTATAGTGAAGCACTGCTTCAAAGTTCATCACTGCCCAGGCATGCCAGGCCTGCCAACAGGAAAGAACAAAAGTTAGAAGGAAGATGAGTCCTTTCTGTAACAGGCACTTTCTAATAGTTAGATATAATCCCACCTTTCTGTGTCTGCAAACAACAGCAGTAAGTAATACCCTGCAGACTGTTGTCAATGCTTTGATTTCTCTAATTGCTTGTAATTTGAACTGTCTTATTATCTTAAATAATATCACGTTGAATTCTTGGCCTGGAACTCCCTTTTGAATATTAAAGCAAATGAGCTCTGTACCAAAAATTAAATTATATTTGCATATACCTTCATTTTTCAAAGGCTAAAATGAAAATTAGTATGTTATGACTTTGGGATGTGTAATAGGAAAAAATACAGGAGATGGCTGCCCCAGAGAAGATATGGCATTAAATATTAATTGAAATATCACAACCCTGAAATCAAAGGCTCTTTGGAGAATTAGCAACAGGGCTGCTTTCCTTGTTCAAGTATACTGACTGAGAATGAGTTAAATTTTTCCATTTTCTTTCTCCTTCATTGCTAACTGACAACAGGAGAGAGTCCCAAAAGCAAGATGAGAAACTGAACTGTGGCCTAATTTTACCAACCAGATAAAATTCTAAACAAGAATCTCATGGCTGCCTTGGGCCACTTTCTCTGTTTTTCGCTTCTGTTTTGGTTTCTTTAATCCTACTGACAGTAACAAGGCAGACAGTTACAGGAGATCTTCCAATGAAAAATTTCCTTTCCTGTAGTATTGGACTTGATAAAATTTATCTGGGAACTTCTGTGTAATGACCTTGTACCAGTTGCGATCATGCTCCGTTGCAGCACTGTAGTATTGCAGGACTTTGGGGATGGTGCTCTCATTGATGCCTTGCAGGTTCAGCTGCCACTCACCCAGTTTCAGGAAACACCTAGTTAAATAAAGGTATTATTGATTCAAAACCTAAAATGAAAACAAAACCTCTGGATTAAAAGGTGAACTTGCTATCTGGAGTCTAAAAGACATTCCATGTGATGAATCCAGTCAGGAAGCCTCTCCTGCAGTCTGGATGCATAATTCAAAATACCTCCATCTTGCTTGTAGTGTGGAACTAACTAGTTGAAGGTTTAATTTAAGAGGAAATGTGGGGATCAAACTCTTTTCCTCATCTATATGAGTTATAAAATAAATGTAAGAAGTAGGTAACCGCAACATCAAAAGACTTCATCAGTCTGTGCTGATAAAATTCATACATGTGCACACACATATATATATATATACACATGGTGAGCTGTACTGAACCCCATGTGAATGAGCCCTCTGGGGAGAACCCTGACAGACAATGGAAACACAGAGGAACTGTTCTTCCCCCAGCCAGAACCCCATTAAGTCACTCCCTCCTAGAGGAAAGGAAAAACAACATATTTTTACTGCAGTAGGGTGGGGTTGTCAAGGTTTATGCAAAACTTAATACTTTGCTCCTTCAGAAGGCTTTAAATGCCACAGCTATGTGGCTGTCCTTTCTGTATTCTGAGTTTTCCAGAAAGCATTGTGCAAGACAAATATTATATGCAAATCATTATTAATTTGTTTTCCATTATAGTCACTAAACAAAATAAGACAACGGTGTTACCAAGGGTTCTCATCCTCATAAAAGCAAATGTAGTGCATACCTCCCTTCAAAAAAATCAAACCTTTAATAGAAAGCACTATGCAATTTTTCATTTAAACTGAAAAAAACCCAGATCTGGCACCTACAGATCCACAGAGAAAAATGGAGAAAGGGTTTTTAATGCAACAGTATTATAAGAGACCATCACATGCTGGGCACCTACTGCCCAAAGCCTTGCTGTTGTGCTTGGCAGCCTGTGTACTTAATACAGATGTGCCAGGAGTGTGGGAAGTGTTTCTTTTCCTAGTGACTGAATCTCCTGAAAAGCAAAGAAACAGACATGCTGAGCTCTCTGCCTTCTGCCAGTGAGCCACAGTGCTGGAAAAATACAACCAGGCACCAGCAACAAATACAAGCTTGTTTAGGCTGATGTGTCCCAGGAACATTTAGTGAATGTTACATGATAGATAAGAAT